TTGCTTGCCTGGTGTCTGGCAGAGGTTAGAAGAACAGACCCTTCCTTTGGGCTTTTGGACCTGGGACCTGTTTGGAGGATGCTGGGACCTGTTTGAGGATGCTGGTGAAGAGAAACTCTGTGGAGCAAAGCTCCTGCCCCCTTTCGTTCACCCCTCTCAGCTGGTGTGGTCCCCACCTTGGAGAGGCACATCTTACTCTCAGCCCGTGCTGACCATCAGTCTGCACAAGCAGATCCACACTGCAGAGAGACTCATCACTGTCCCAGCAGAACAGCTACTGTGCAAATGCATCCAAATAGGCACTTGGCTTTTCTTCTGTCCATCCAGGGATGGGGAAGAGGAGAGGTGAGCTTTCCTACAGTGCACTCTGTTGCAGTTGCAGACACCCAGCAAAGCAGTGACACCGTTGTATGGCTGCTCCAGCCCAGCATGGTGCGACTGCTCTGGCAGCTGAGGGCATCTGTGCTGAAAGCTTCTGCAATCTGCATCCAAGGACCATGCTCTGAGAGACCCGTGATTCCTGTTTGGGGTGTCATTTCCAAACCTTTAGGAGACCACTGTAGGCTAGAGAGGGATTTCTGTCACAGTGCTGGGTGTCCCCCTGCCCAGAGCTTGTATGAGAAGTGCAGAGTGAAATGACCTCGTGAGAATTTGTTCCTCTACTAAGCAAAAAGCCTCTGGGTGTTCCCAAATGGATGCCACCAGGTCAGCAGAGGCTGAATCTGTATTAGCAGGTTGTTCCCACATGCTGTAAAGCTTGGCAAGCCAAGGAGGTTTCTGACAGTACAGGACCCATTAGCACCGTTCACAACCTCTACAGTTAGCAGAACCTATATTCCTAGAATTTGGCTCCGGCAGTGAATTTGAGATGTTTCTAGAGGCATTTGACTGTTCTGCAAGGTCTGATCGCCATGTGGGCAGCATCGCCCCACGACGGTCTGAGAAGGATTGTGACTGAAGCATTATGGGGCACTGCAGCCACTTTTCCCTGATTTGAAATGTAATTTGACAGTGCAGCAAGCAGTGGAGGTAGGGCTGGTAGTGAGGGCCTGCATCCATCCTCAGAGATCTCTATTTTCGACTTTTCACTGATGTGGCTGATCAAGCCTTTCACTGGCATGTTACTCAGCCACAGGACTGTTTCACTAGTGCTCAAGCAGACGCAGGTCTTGAGGAGAAGGCATGGAGAGGTGATGCCCCTAAGGCTTATCCGCCACCTCGCAGACGTGCAGGGTGTTCTGCTACAGGGCTGCAAAATCAAGGGAGGACATCTTACCAAGAGGCTGGTCAGAAGACATTTCCCCACCTTAGTGACAAACCAACACATGCTGCGAGGTGTTCAGTTTACTTAACTGCAGTGAAGAGCCAGGACAACTTCATAGGCTGCCAGAGGTGCCTGGCAATGGGACATTGCTTTTCTGCCTGCATGAATCAAAGCAGCACCGTGCATGTCAATCACCTGCTAGGAGATTTCCTGGGCAAATGTGTGGGGTTTCTCTCCATGCTTTGTGTGTTCACAGATACTCGTTGCTGTATTCCTTTAGATCCTTAGCATGTGCACTAAATGAGTGCCTGCCCTGAGGGAGTTCAGTGCTTATATGCATGATCGGTTATGTAGCTTTCTGCCCTTTTCACAGATTTCAGACATATCATTACCTGTGAGCACATGGCCTGTGGGAATTCTGGCCCTTCTCAGCTTTGGACAATTTATCATGGATCTGTAACAGCAATAGTACCTTGCATCCTGGGAGCAAGTTAGGTTTTCTGTAAGATACTATTGCCTTTAAAAAGTGATCAGGGCATAAAAAGTAAATAAGATGCAATGAAAAACAACACTTTAAAAATAGTAATTTTACTTCAGAGCTGTGTGTTACTTCCTGAAGAGCAAAGGAACCAACAGGAGAACAGTATGGTTTTCCTGGTGGCAGAAGAGAACTGCCACCAAGCACTGATATACATAAAAAAATATGAACAAAATGAGAATGTTACTAAGTTATTTTGGTCCTAATTCAGAGTTTGCCCACACTAAGCTATATAAAGTCTATCACCTCACCAGTATACAGAGCTCCCTTATTTACTGACTTGCTTAATTAACAGCTTCTGAGGTTTGTATATAAATTTTAACTCTGATGTTGCTCACCACACAGCAGGCAATGAGGCTCAGGCATTCAGTGATGCTACTCTCTGCTGCTCACTTTGTCCGCTTGCCTGAAAAGTACTGGACTTAAAGTGGCTGAGTAGGTTGGAGGAAAACACTCCCAAATTCTTGACAAGTCCATTCTCCAGATGGTGGAGGAGGCTGCCAGAAGTGGCGGAAGATGGGGAGCTGGAGCGTCTCAGTAGCCACTCAACACACGGGTTTGCAAGATTGGAGGCACCAGGATCCATTTCTCCATCAAGCCGAAAGCAGCGGCAGCTGAGTACTTGCTGTAGGACCAGTGCTGCTCATGTGTTTTTTGCAGCCACCTACCAGAGACAGGGTCCTTTTTTCCAAGCAGGCACCAAACCGAAGCTTCTGCGTGGTTAGGCAGCAATGGACACCAAGACCTGAAGTTTATGATCAGGCTTACAGCGGAAGTAAGCTGCACTTAGAAGGAGCAGTGATGTCAGGATGGGTTTTTGGTTCAATTCCATCTTGGGAGGAAGTAGAAACAGAACTTTATTTGTACAAGAGCACAGCAGCCAGCCATACTGCTTGCTATCTCCTTTCTAAAGCCGGGATACATGATTTCTAGACAAGATAGATGATTTACAAGAAGGTGTAAAATCCTCATCATGCACCTAATTATGCTCTACTACACTATGGGGGCATATTTCCTTCTGAGTCCATCTGGTGATCAGACTGTACCCTGAAGCATGTGGATTGATTACCCTCATGGTTTTTTCTCCTAGTTAGTCTAACTGCTGATGCTTTATTTTTATTCATATGAATGTCTAAGCCTTTTTGAAGCCTTGAAAATTATAATTAATTGTGCAATGAAAATCAATAATGGAAGTGCTTACAAAGCCAGCTTGATTTGGGAGTGAATCCCAAAGACAGCTGCTTTCTCTAAGAGTGATGGAAAAAGTTGGAGAAAAGCAACAGAAAAAAAATTCCAGATCCTGGTTTTTTGTGATGTTTGTCATGGGTTTAACCCCTTCAGCAATTGCTGGGAGCTTTATTACATGTTACTATTACAGTTCATGAAAGCAAAACCTCAAGTCCATCAAAAAACCAGGAATACCCAATTAAACAGAGGTGCATTGAAAAGTGAAATCGTTTATGCTCCTGTACCAGAATGTGGCTATTCCCACACATTTGGGTCCTTGACAGCTTTATTTTTCACAATAGGTTATAGAGATCAGGATGAAGAACTGGTAAGGCATTTACTATAGCATCCCTGCCTATTCCCTTTTGCATACTGACAGGTGCTAGCATTTTGCCTAGGGTTGAATATCCCAATTTTTCTCCATTTCCCAGAGGAGAGCATTTTCGGAACTCATGCATGCCAGTCTCTAAAACTCCAGATAGAGTGACTGCCATCTCGTGGTTAGCTCTCCCTGCTGCACTGGTGCCAGGGCTGGTGCCAGGGCTCACCGCTGGTGCAAAGCTGCTGGTTGGGGTTCAGAGATAGTGCCCCAAAATGCAGCCTGGGGACAGGGGACTAGGAGGGCGGGCTGTATGGCAGGCTCAGTGCTAGGATGCTGAGGAGGAGGAAAAGCAGCCCCCTTCACAAAACATGCTTCAAATAACAGCATACATCACCTGGCCCCTCTCCAGAGCCTGAGCTAGAGGCAGGTTTCGATCTCTGGGGACACTGAGGTCCTACATCGTGCCTATGGGAAGTGCCTGATGTGTGAAAGCCTCCTCTCCCTGCCTCTCTCAGCAGGCTCCTCTAAAAATCCTACCCCCGTGCAAAAAAATGAGTTGCTAAGGGCTGGTGAATGGGGGAATGCTGTGTCTGAAAGTTCCTTCCTCTCTGTGGGGATAGCAAGTGCCAGCATTCATTTGGGACCAAGGGAAAAGCCCCTCCTCGCACCCTGGTGCTGCTGCCATCTCCTATCCATTGACTACTTCATCCCTCACGTCTGCCCCTGAGTCTGGGGTGAAGGCATCTCCCTGAGATGGGGAACCCAGAGCAGGGCTGTCTTCAGGCAGGATTACCTGGCTCTTTCAGATCTACACTGTCTATCCAGCCAAAAACAGCCCTTGCAGTTTGCGAACATACATGCATGCATGCAACACACACAAAATACACGGTCATCCCGAGGGAAATGCTGTGGTCACAGTTTCTGCCTGCAGTTTCCTCTCTCTGGTTTACCTCTGCTGGACTCCCAAGTCAAACAACATAAGGGAAGAGCAGCCGCCTTTTCAGTGCCACCCCTCTGGTATGGCAACAGTGGGTCCTACACTTAGAAAGAGGAGGAGCAGCGTAGGGGCCGTGCTCTGATAACTCCCCTTTGATGGGCAGTAAGTTGGGGTGACATCTCCTTCATGTAACATTCGAGATGTTCTCCTCCTCTGCCAGCATGTGGAAATATTGTGACCAGATGGGATGGGTCTTGGGATGCTGTTCCTTTCCCACCCTGTATTAAGTACATAGATTCATGAGAGGAACAGGACAGACAGATCTGATCAGGAACAGGATCTGACCTTTAGTACAGAAACCCAGTGGCACATTTGCATTGCAGAATACATAAAATATATGGGTATATGAGCAAAGGAGGAGGATGATGGGTATTGCACTGAATGGGGAAAATCATACCGGGTCAGGCTGCAGGTCCAGCCAGCAGTGTCCCATCTTTGGCAGTGTCTCAGAGTGGCATGTACGGAAATGACCTAGGAAATAGTTCCTCCTGCTTTCTGCAATCTGTGGTTTCAATAACAATATGGAAGATACAGCCTTAGCAAGCCCACAGTGTTTTTTTTAATTAAAATCTGTCCCTATTTCAGCTACATGATACATACTTCCCCATTAGCACATGCATTACTAAAAGTAAAGGTTACACATTTGGCTTTATAGAACACTTTTTTTGGAGATACTTCTCATGTCATTGAATATCGGTTCCTTATTAAGGCAAATCTGAAGGTGCTGGAGGGGAGGGAGGGGGAGAAGGAGGGAACTGAGACTGTGTCAACGGGATTGGATTAAGGCAAAATTCCTTCCTTCTGCATTGCACCACTATAAAATCCACATAAAGGCCAGAATATTAAATGACTCAAGCCAAGGAAGAGATTCAGTGCAAATATATCCCACTGACTATCCACAGACTAGGTAATTTGAGGCTAGGTCCTCGACTGAGGTAAATTGACAGCGTCTTATTAGCCGCAAAGCTACGCTGATTTAGCTCCATTGAGGATCCCAGCCTGGGTTCAGAGAAGCATTTTAGTATGTGTTTCATATGCAAGCACACATTTAAATGCTCTCCTGCATCAGGGCCACAGCCCTTTGAGTGCAAGTCTGTAAAGTTAACAGAGTTTAATTTTTATTCACTACATAAATATGTCATTCTGCATCCCTTTGGTTCACTTCTTATCTTATTGCTACTGAGTGTATCCCCTTAGTTTCTTTAACGTGGTTTTCATTTCTGTCATGCTTTGCAATCTGCTTATGCTTTAAGTGTATTATGACATAAAGATGAATTATCCTTTGGAGAGCATTTCTTGCAAAGGTTCCAGAGTTTGGGTGTTCTTGGACGACCAGGTTATGGTATGTTTTTTTCAGTGAGTAGTAATGTACTCTGTGAGTAATGCCACTGACGGCAGAGGCATAACTTGCAGAGAAAAGTACTGCTCAGTTCATATACCAGCAACACATAGCAGACTCCAAACACTTCTCTCTTTCCAAAAGAATTTCCTAAGAGGATCCTACCATTCCAAAAATATAGTCACTAATACTTGCATTTGCTTGGGGGAACCCCTTTTGTTATCCCAGGTGCAAACTGAAGGAAAGTATGGCAGAAATGCTACCAGAAGCATGAAGACATTTTCAGGCAGAAGCAGTATATAACATTTCATAATCCTAAAAGCTGTCTGTACCTCCCAAGACAAAGATCTCCAGGTGACCTCTGACAGAAAACCCTGGTATCCGTTAATAGAAGGATATGTATAGGCCTCATTATTGAAAACTTACTCAGGAATATGAAATGGTTATATCTAGCAAAGTGGAAAATAAGGCAAAGAAATCAAGCACATATTACTGTTCAAAACAAAACACTTCCTGGATACGTGTGGATGCACAACTTTTGTATGACCTGGAACCGTGTATTACATTCATGCCTTGAAAGCATGAACACCCTGCATATTTCCTCGATAGAGAGAAGAGCATCCAGTTTGAGGGAATCAAAAGGGTGAACACCAGGCATCAGTTCAAGTCTTTTGTGCTTTAAACTTTCTTCATGCCTTTTCCCATAAGGCAAGCAAACACTGTCATGACCATTTTGGGTTTTACTTCAACCAGGTCTTCTGGAAGGGCATACACTCTTGCTCCAATTTTTCTCGCCATAGAGATGGCATATCTGCATTGCAGGGGTGAAAAAAACAAAATGAAGAAATAAATTAGTGCAATAGCATTAATTTTCCCTCTGTTAAGAAGTTTTTTACATGATCAGTACCAGAGTGGGTTGGGAACTTTCTTACTGATTCGTCAAAATTAAACTTTTCTATAGGAATGTATGAGACAGGTTCATAAATAACTAATTTGTAGTAAAAGGTAGAGTGTATTCCCTGATGCTTAGAGCACTGACTACCTGCAGCATGGAAGACTGCAGGTCAAAGTCTGGTCTGAAACATTTAGTCTGCCATCCCCTGAAAGATTATCCCAACAAGCAGCCATTCTGGTCTTCCTCCCCCTCAATCTCTGCTGCTCAGTCTTCACACATGAACAAATTCATGAGGATGGAAAGCAGAAGGATGATGTTGGTGGCAATCAGTGTTTTTGGAAAATCAACATTCAGGGACTTCTCTTCTGCTTGAGTTGTACCCAGAATCTGCAAGCTGACCTTCCCATCTCCCTCCTCAGAGTGCACTGTTGCATGGCTACTGACTGTTCTCCACTGGGTATCTCTTCTATTTTTTCATGAAAAAAGCTAGAAAATCCCAGGTTCTTCCCGCTGCAGAGCACATACGTTTGTGAAATTCTCCCCAAAATGCAGAGAAACATGCGGGGAGGTGTGGGGGGGAGAAAAAGATGGGAAAAGAGGAAAACATCAGCAGAGGGATGAAGAAATTAAGTATGGAGAGAAGCACACGTAGGATTGCAAGGAAAGAAAGAGAACAGATGGTAGGAAATGGAAGGGAAAAAGAACAATGGGAAAAGTCTTTATAAAAATGATGGCAGCTCTGATTGCCTTACAGTCATCCTTTTCTCTTTTGTAGTTGCCACATAGCAAAGGAGAAGCTAAACTGATGATCAGACCAGGAGGTGATCTGTTTAACTCTGAAAGGAAAGGGAGATGCCCCCAGGACTGGCTGTCTGCTAGAAAATGGTTTGCACTCAGGAAAAAAAAAAAAAAATCAATATCCACATTCATAAAATCAGTTTTTCAGGCATGAATCCTGTCCTCCCCCTTCTCTCTTAAATATGTCCTTGTTCCACCTGCACATGACTGAAGAGGTATCGTGACCTCTAATCACTGGTTTCCATGGCTCACTATTGTTGGCATTGTTCCCTGATCTCTGAAAGAATTTTAAATTTAATAAGAGAAAATAGGAGCTTGTGAAGCCAAGTGATTTTGATCCCTTCAAGGGAATTATAAAGCAGGAATTATAACATTACACACTTCATTTCCATTGATAGTCTTTTTTACTGCCTAACTCCTAGCCTTCATGCTTCTAACTCTGGAGGTATTTCTCAGTTGAGGTGGTGCCAGATGATAATGATAGCAGAGCAGTTTTCAAAGACAGAGTCAGGCAAGCCTGAGCAGATAACTCGTGTTAAGTGTCACTTGGCATGAACATACTTAGCATTATTTAGTTTCTCCTCATCATTCAGGTCCTCCGTTTTCAAGAGGTCATATTTGATTGATCCTGGTTGAATGGCATCAATGAGATCCAGGACTGGCATGCTGGTGCTGATTTTGCTATCCTGCATAGATGAAAAATACAATTAGATGCAAGAACAGGATGACATCTCCCACAAAGCCAGAGTCTAGGCTCAAGAGCAATGGACAGCTCAGTCAAATATCACTTAGATCTTCACAAAGGACTGCTTAGCATCATTTTTCATCTAAGGCAGACTAAGAACCCTTTCAAGGATTTTTTTTTCCCTACCAATGGATGAGACATCATTAAATCAAAAGATGGGGTGCTGAGCTAGTGAATTTGCTTCCTGTGGGGAGATGACATTGATACACATCTACTGACGGGAGGTACGAGGGGAACCAGCTGTGTGACTTCTGAGCTCATTATGTGAAATCTGATGGATCTGTCCTTGCCTGGTGCAAACTGCTGATTTACATCCACTGAATGTTCCCCAGCTTGGGAAGTGTCTCAGATGTGTTAGCAAAATTGGAAGCCCCCTGGAATTGGACCGTCTCTGTGTTTATAAGATGCCTTGCAAAATAAGCCACCACCCCTGAATGGTACTACCATATTATAAAAGTATTGCTGCTGTTCTTTTTAATACTGTCATTTGTAATTGCTGTCATTTAATAATCATCAGCACAGCAGTTCTTGCTTAATTCCAGTGTTCTGGTTTCAGCTAGGATAAAGTTAATTTTCTTCCTAGTAGCTGGTACAGTGCTGTGTTTTGGATTTAGTAGGAGAAGAATGCTGATAACACACTGATGTTTTATTTGTTGCTAAGTACTGCTCATGCTAGTCAAGGACTTTTCAGCTTCCCATGCTCTGCCAGGTGCACAAGAAGCTGGGAGGGGGCACAGCCAGGACAGCTGACCCAAACTGACCAAAGGGCTATTCCATACCATATGTCTTCATGCTCAGTATATAAGCTGGGGGGAGTTGGCCGGTGGGCAACAATCACTGCTCAGGGACAGTCTGGGTATTGGTCGGCAGGTGGTGAGCAATTGCATTGTGTATCACTTGCTTTGATTATTATTATTATATTGTTATTATTGCTACTACTATTTTACTTTATTTTATTTCAACTGTTAACCTGTTCTTGTCTCAACGCAGGAGTGTTTCTCACTCTTACTCCTCCGATTCTCTCCCCCATCCCACTGGGGCAGGGGGAGTGAGCGAGTGGCTGCGTGGTGCTTAGTTGCTGGCTTGGGTTAAACCACGACATCCAGTCATCATTCCTGGCTCCATACTTTGATTTCCTATGTCAAACTGGCATTCAAGGTGTTTGCTGTTACGTTCATATCACGTTTCTGTTACCTTTTCATAATAAATCCCTTCAAATAAAATCTCTATATCTGAACATGCCTTTAAAAGGGAATGAAAAATAATCAAACTATGTAGTTAATTATATCATACTGTATTGTGTGCATGTATACACACTGAATAAGAGATTCCTAAGTAGAGACTTCCAACAAAAAACTATACCTTGAAACTGGAGATGGTTGAATCCTTCCCGGCTGCAGTCAGTGTTTCATTGACCCAGCTGACAATGATGTCATCATTCACCTTCTCTCCACCACCAATGTCTTCGAGGATACTCAGGGTGTACCTTAAGAGGGAAGCCAGGATACCTGCATTTGCTCAAAGTCTACTATAACCTCAGAACCATCCTGTACGTGCGCAGCTTGACTGGGATCACCCCAAAAGTCCTCTTAGAGTTTATATTTCCCCGCTGCCCACACACTCACAGTATATATGAATTATATTATAACATGCTAATTCATTTATTGGGGCTAATTCATCTATTGGGTCTAATTCACCCCCAGTTCCCTAATCACTGTTTTGGGATTGTCAAAAGATTTTGATACTCAAAATTCCTACGAGGTCCCTCTTAGTGGATTTCAGTGTAAATGATTCATTCTCACAGTGCCTAAAAATAATCACTGACTTTAAGGCCAGAAGGGAATTGTTATGCTCATCTAAGACTGGCCTTCTGCATGAACACAAGCCTGGAATATTTTGCTTATATGTCAGCATACACCTTGGAAAGACATCCCAAATTGATGGCAAGTAATCACCACATCCCTAGATTAATTACCTGGCTGATAAACCTATACCTTGATTTGTAGAATGAATTTAGTCTGTATTCAGTTCCTAGCCACTGGGTCTCTCTACACCAAATCATGGATCTCTTAAACACACACACAAACACACACACAGAGAATTACATTAAAGTGGGGAGAGCTACTGAGTTGCATCCGCTTCAGGTAGCAGATTACAGAACTTCTACATCAATTCCTTGTTTCCAGTACATTCTCCCCATTCCCTGATACAGAGACCTTTCAACTTCTTTTTCTCTCTTCCATGCAATGAACATTTATTCATGCTATACAGATAGTGACAATAATAATCTTCTGCATGAGCTGACAGCAATGTCCTTGCCCACAAGATAATGTGCTTCCTGATCGCTTCTCTAACTAGGAGAGAGCAAAAGGTTACTCTGTCTTTGCATATGAGTGCAAACAGAGGAGTGAGAAAGCTGTAGCCTGTAGAGCCTTCTCAGTGATGGCATCAGGAAACTATTACAATGCAAACTGAATATAACAAAGCACTCTGAAGTTTGTGTCTGACTGCCATACCTTCTCATCAACTGCCAGATCAAGGCCAGTGTGAGCGTACGGTTTCCTTCATTCAGATCTTGCCCAGCGATGCCAACAAGGGAAAATTTGGCTTGATTCTTTCCCAGTTCCACTGCATAGTTGCAGTTTTCAAGCTGTTAATGACAGGGTCAATTCATGTGATTCAGAAATATAAGGAAAAAAATAAAACAAGACACTGTTACTTTAAATTCTTTGGATCGCTTAGCCCAGATCCTCCTGTGCAAACAGGAGCTATGGGGCTCTGTGATAATACAGCCGTTTGACTACCAGCAGCCAGTTCCATCCCAAAAATACCACGGTAAACAGTTAACATAGAAGGAAATGTTACACTTCATCATCAGGGCCTGAAAAACAGATTACCCTGGAAAATATGAATTTGTGGCTCATGGGTACCTCCAGCATCATGGCATTGCACTGAGACAAAGGATTAGTGTCCTAGTCAATTTTTTAGGTCGGTTAATTACTCTGGCCTAACTGGATGGAATTACTCATCCAGATAGCTGTGAGAAAGCTCTGTATTTAGCAGCAACTCTGTGATCGGTTCTTGAGGCATCTGGTCAAGAATGCTTATCATCACTGTCTTCATTTGATGTGGAGGGCAGTGATGCAGACAGCTGCAATTAAGCTGGTGCCATATGACTCGCGGTGAATATGCATTATAATTGGCAACTAAGACAGTAGCAAAAGTGGTCTGCAAATACAGTTTTTAAATATTGACACAAAAGGTGTCAAGTCTTCTTACTTTACAAATACTGTTCACCTGTCAACAGAGCCAGTGAGTTAAATGTATGCTTCTTTTTCAGGACGAAAAATTATTCACTGACTAGACAAAAAATCATTTAATGTGCTGTACTTGGGACTTGAGAGCAACACAAGTGCCCACGTTGCTGTTTGAAATGATATAGACATCCTTTGAGGATAAGGCATCACTACTGGAGCTGTTCCAGCTTTTTGTACCTTCTTCATGTTGCCACCCAGTTTAGGATATGGTGGTTTGTTCACTCTGTTCCAGTCTACTGGCACTTTGATCTTTTCATAGAGCTGGAAGATAACCAAGGCATCTGACAGGTCACTGAAAACAATAAAAAAGATATATCATTGTCCAAAGAACAGAGGAAAGGAACCCAACTAAACTATTAGTAGAGGTAAACTTAGTTTCCTAAAAAAAAAAAAAAAAAAGCACATGTTCTTCTAGGGTCCAAAAGTGTTTATGTTTTTGTAAACAATTTGCTGGCTGTATTTATCATGTGAAGGAAGTGTAATAACTCCTCTTACCTATATAAGTGATTTACACGTGGATTAACACCCAGGGAGTTCATCCAGTTCCTGAACGTCCTCTCTTCCCTTGTCTCGCCTAAAACAACAGATACATCAATCAACAGGCCTGCAAAACACATCACTCCAGTAAAATAAGTGTCTTGTGATGAAACTGTAACTCAGAATTTACAGCACACTGAACCGTAAACAGAAGGAGACACTGGTTGATATGTGAAATAAGAGAGCACGGTGCAGCATGCAATATTTCTTCATGCCCTATATATTATAGTATTTAGGCAGATTGGCCTTGAAATGCCTTCAAGAACTCAAGAACAGCCTGTGCCCTGGCATGAACAGTTTCACTATGAGGCTGAGAAAGAAGGACCTGAAGCCCAGCAAATGATCCATACAATGATGGTCCTGACCCCAACGCAGAGCAAACAGGCAGCAGGTTTATGCAAGATCTGGTTTTTAAATTGTATTCTCAACTAAGGGAATGCCAGATCAACTCTAATTTCAACTAACAAGCACGCTCAACAGTCCATACTGGTTCAGACATCCCACAAACATTTTTGTCTTTTAACATGTGCTATCCACAGAACAGACCCTCAAAATACCAGAAGCTACATGGAGGTAAAGAGCAGCCTCCCTTTCTCAAGGCTGCCTCTGCTAACGGTGCAGTGAATACACATCTGAAGGACATAAGGTTAGGTTAATGTATCATCAACTCAGAGCTGGGGATGTTGTGGCACAGGTGGCCAGAAACATCCTTTATTTGCATTTTCCTTACCTTCAATAGAGCTCCAGTCGATGTCCTGGTTCTCTGGCTTATGCAGGGCAGGGTATTTGTTGAACAAGTTGGCGATAAAGGCCAAGTTTAGCTTTGGGTTCCCCCGGACAACGTCGGTGGCCGTGACCCCAGCCGCTCCGCCTGCTGCAGCATGCACTCCGCTCGCTGGACATCATCCTTCTCCTGCGCCGGCAGAAAACAGGGCCATCAGCCTCACCCCACTGCCTGGCGCTGCATGCAAGACCCCCTCGGGGTCTCCACGTGTGGAGCTAGTTGTGGGGCTGTTAAAGCAGGTGCTTGTCAGATTTATAGCTATTTCCTTTCCCACTTTTACTAGCGGCAGGTCTGTGTTTTCAAATGGGCTTTACCTACAATCCAGCCATCTCACCATATTGCTTTTACAGCTATATTCCATATAAAAGCGGATGGTTTGATGAAATTCCCAAATAAATGTATTTATACTTGTTACATGTTAGTAGTTTATCAGTGTGGTTCAATGGTTGTTAAAGTTTCAACAATAATATCTAACAAAAGGCAAAACACATCTTTTAATTCTTTGAAAGCTTTGATTTCTGAAATACAAGATCATGTTGCAATGCTAAAAAGAGTTTGCTTGTTCTGGCATCCCGGTGCAACTCTGTGTTGGCCAGCAATGCAAGTAACAGACAGAAAATATTGGCATTTCCTCTAAACTTATCTCATCTTACCCTTAATCCTGACATGTCAATAGTAATAGCTGGAATGCCTTCTTCATCTCCCTTGGGGGCAACTTGGTTCAGCAAATGGTAATAAGCTCTTGAGTCCTGTGACAGACAGAGAAATTAAAGGGAGGAAAAATTAGATCTAAAGCTCAGGTTTTGCATGCCAGTGCTCCCCTGAACAATGTGCCTGCATGCTTCGTTTTTATTACATCAATCATTGGGCTACATAATTAAATTAATTAAGCTGGAAGCACTTAGCAATTCCTACTTTATGCTGTATTTGCCAGATCTGTTTCTTCCCTAAGCCAATATATATATGCTGCAGAACCCTCAACGCATGAGACAAAATGCTGTGTGTTGCACTTACAAAAAGGACAGCAACAACAAAGAGATATCAGAATTGACTTAATCTGAACATTAAATTAGATGTAAGAAAATGCATACCTTTATAACGCTGTAGAAGTCAGGCTGCTGAGCATTTAATAAAAGAAAATGCAGAAGGAGAAAGCAGATGTTTAAAGCAGATTTCAAAGCAATGCTGGAACATTTATGGAAGAGAAAGCATAGTTTTCAAGGACAAAAGTTAAAACTGACAACAGTATCAGCATTTTTCAGGCAAAAGGGCAGGAACAAGACAAGGGTTTAACATGTTGTGTCTTTAATCTTTTGTGAAATGTAGTTGCTTCCATGTGTGGAAAATATTAATCTTACTTGAGAAATAACTCAAAGAATTGAAAATAAATCTACGTGTTCGGGTCTAGGGGCTTGACTAACTAACGCAACTAATACTCTTCAAAATACAAAGCAGATTACCTGAATTATTTTAAATCTTATACATCTGTGCGGTGGGGAGACACACTTAATTAGAGAATGGCTGTAAAGGCTGAAGTCTTGGCCTCTGAGAGGTAAATGTGCACTTTATTTTCCAACTGTAAATATGGTAAGTGCGATTTATCTTCCAATTGCAGATTGGATTTGCACTCTAGTCCTCTTGGCCAGCCTACAGAAAGATGGGGAAGACTCCATTCCCTTCCCTTTCCATGGATTTTCTCTAGTCACCTCCACCCAGTGAACCAAAAATCTGTTACATTAAAAATTGTGTTGTCGAATGTGACTCTCAGACTATCCTGTTGCCTTTCCTGGTGGTTTTTTTCTGTATGTCAAGAAAGTCATGGTAAATGACTTTCCATGTTTCAGTCCCTGGTGAAGCCTACAACCAGGCATCTCTGGAGCAGAGCTTTTCCCATGCTACGCTGGGAGTGGGCAAGTTGGGTCATGGCTGGTGAGGTCAGTGTGCCGGCCAGCCCCTGGCTTGCCTGGAATTCAGCTCAGACACCCTCCCTGATATTCCCCCTACAGCCCTGGGATGCTGTCTGGGCCTCACACTGTAGCTTTAGCATCTGAAACTCATCAGTGTGCACCACTGAAGTTCAAATACATCTGTCTAGGAAGAATGAAGGTCCTACAGAGAAAGCTCCGCTGAAATCTGCACGCACAAGCCCATGAAGTCCCAAGTACATGGTATATGCTGCATAGACTAGAGAGCCATCCTTGCAAGTGCCTCTCCATCTAGCTATATTATTTTGATTAGTCCTACTGAATTAAAACTTGCAGGTAAGTGCATGCAGGTTATAGCAAAGGTTGGGACAGAGGAGCACATAACCCAGGTGCTGTGGGGGAACTGGAAGAACCCCATCCTCTTCCCCTACGCCAAGTTACGTGTCTAGGCAAGGTCCAGCCTTTTCCAAACCAAAGCCAGGTCAAGAGGTATTTAAGAACATCTAGGAAGGAGGAGAGCAATAGAGGCAGGGAACTGAAAATACAGTGGTAGAGCCCATATGCCCTGTCCAGAGCCAGCAGCCATTCCTTTCCCAGGCATTTGGTGTGCTGGGCCTGGCAGTGGTGACTGGGACATTGGGAGGAGGAGGAATACTACTGAGCGGAAAGGTAAACCCCACTGAAATTACTTTATGTACCCAGCTCCATGTGTTCAGTGGAGCAGTCTCAGCTGCTTGGATTGTTTCGGTGCACAATCCCTGTTTGGAGGACAGAGGTTTGGGTGTGGAGCTGCTGTTTTGCTATTGTTGGTCAGTGTTTCTCATACCTTGATGTCTGAGCTGAAGTTGTTGACTTTGTTGCATCCTGCATTCTCCAGGTGATAGTTTGCCCACCTCAACAGCAGTTCCTCTGGAGACAACTTCATCAGATCCTCCAGGGTCTCTCCTTCTCTCAGAAGAGCAATCAAGGCTAAGCAGGGAAAAAAGAAAAAATTAATGATGTTCTGAATACTTGTAGAGGAGAATGTATAACTATATTCTCTCTCTTACACATATTGCTACTCTAGTTTCTAAAAGTGGGCAACCAAAGTGTTGCCAAAATTCAAGCTGGGTCAGCATGACAGAGGACATAAACAGAAAAAGGGTCTCATCAATAAAATGAGGGCAAGGCTGTTAGTTGTGGATCTAGTAGTGGATCATATAGAAATGCAAGACAATTTTAGTGTGGTCTAAAAACTACACGATTTCCTTGCCTCAGATCTTAATGAAAAGATGATGATGTTGAGCACAGGGGCAAGATGGGAATGAAAACATGAACACAGACTTTCTGCAGTTTAGAAGAAAGAAATCTCAGTGACCTTCATACTGAAACTGGATCTACACAGGTATTCTGAAGAACTTGCACATAACTTCATGGGCTCATGGGCCAGTAGGGTTAACTCATCTGTCAGTTGGAGAAGATACCCTATTTATATAGAAAAATTAACATAGTAGTTGTGTTCATAAAAGGAGGAAGAGGCAGGAGGGAAGGATCGACCCTTGCAACTGCAGGATGTTCAGCTGATCCCTGAAGCATGAAAGGCTTTAGAACAAGTTTTGAAAAGAACAACTATTAACGTGGAAACTAATTGTTAATGTGATAAAAAGGGAGAGTGTGTCACACTACTTTGATCTCCTTCTGATATCTTTTGACATTCTGTGAAAGAAATACGGATTTGCTATGTAAAAGAAACAGTGGAGACCTACTATATCTGGAGTTCCACAGATAATTTGATATAGGGTGCTATGGGGTTAAACTGAGCCAGAAGGAGATAATAGAAGCATTTGGAAGTAGACAGTGGATTTTATGAAGAGAACAATGTTAACACTGAGAGAAGTAGGCTGGAAGAAGGATTCTTGTGGAGTTGATTATGGATTGATTTTTGGATTAATGTTTTCAGGTTTTTTGCATCAATTATCTTGCCACAAGTACTAGCAGTGTGCTAAAAATTTGATGATGATATTCACTAGGTGGCATAGTCAATACAGAGGATGATCAGGAAATCAGACAGAAAGAACTAGATGACAGTAATAAAAATGGAATGTAATTGAATAGTGCCATGTTCAAAGACATTCACTAGGGAATTAATATGAATGACTGCTATTAGCTAAAAGCTCATACGAACAGAGGATGAGAACAACTTGAGTGTATTAGATGTCTTCTGAGCTACTCTGAGCCACCATGTGATATGACCAGGGGAAAACCAAACATTATATTAGTGCATTCCAGGTATTTCCCATAGAGGTTGGGATGTAGTACTGCCTTGACACCATGTGTTCATGAGAGCTCATTGGAAATACAGTGTGCCATATTCAAGAAAGGGGAATTTCACCTGGAACAGCTGCA